GCAGGAGGCAGGAAGACACTGGCTTTTCCCGGGAATGGTTTTGACACCCCTCAGGAGTGCTGGAGCCGTGAGCAGCACACGGGGCCGTGCCACGCAGAGACCAGCTCCTCCCTGGCAAGCCCATGCCAGGCTCAAGGGGAGCATCAAGAAGAAACCAGAGATCCCCAAGCACCTGCTCCACATCATATACAAATCCTTCCTGAGCTTAATTCCCCACATGCCAAGAGAAACGGCACTCCCAGCACCAGCACTGCAAATACAAGAGGAAAGACTAGAAAGACCCAGTGCTGCCCTGGCTCCTCACCCCGTGGGGCTCTGCCGCTGTCTCCCAGCAAAAGCTGGGATCCATGGCCTGGAGTATGGAGGGGGAAAGCCCAGGTATCGGTTGGAACTGAGCCAGGGACATTCACTGCCTTTGGGTTTGTTTTGAAGAGCTGCTTCACTTTCTAAAAATGAAAGGCATGCTAGAGCAGCCGGCGTGGGGTGGGGTGAGCATCGCTTCGAGGTTGGGATGGCGTTGAGTACCCGGCCCCATCTCTAGGGTTTCCCCCAAACCCGGGCTGCCCTCAGCAGCTGCAAGCATGGGGGAAATGAGGACAGGCAGGATGGGAACGTGCCTGGGCTCCCAGATCCAGGGTTGAGGCTTTGCTTGGGACAAGCGGGGTGAGCATCATTTCAGGTGCCGGGATCCTCCAGTCACTGGCAGCGTGCTGGGGTAGGCGCCACAGCCAAGGGTGCTGCTGCCACTCTCTGCAAATATCCCCGCCTGCTTCGCAGCCCCCTCTGCCTCTGCCTGGACTTCTCAGGGCAGGGCTGGCAGAGGATCTGCTGCTGGGCGAGTGCCGGCAGAGGCGAGCAAGGGGGAGAGAGCAGCGTGCCCCGACCTGCTTTAGCTCTGAGATCACCCCACGATGCCGGCTTTTAAAGAGCCATACAAAGCTGTACACGGCCTCAGGTGGCTCTTGATGGGTACGAGTGAGCGCCAGAGGCTGGGGACCTGGGGACCAGAGCAGGCACTGATCCCCAGGGCTGCACTTGCATGCACCCTGCTCCCCAAAGATGTGCTGGGTTCCTTCAGAAAAATTCCCATGTTGTTTTGCATGAGTCCAGGGGCCAAATCTGCGCCCCACTCGACCGCGTGTGCTGCAGGCTTTCCTAGGGGCAGCTGAAGGAAACCCTTCCCACAGGGTTTCTGCTCGAGCATCCCCCTGGCATCAGCAGCATGTGCTCAAGTGCAGGGTGAAGCAGGGGGTTCGCACGTGTCCATGCAGGGCTCTGGCCAGTGATTTACACTCCTTGGCAATGGGGATGCAGCACAGGGATGAGCAGTAACCGGAGCTGTGCTGCACCTGCGCTGGGCCTCCTGCTTTCGCTCTGATTTAATGTCCCAATTGAGAGGTGATGTCATTTCAGAGGGAGCCAGAGAAAAGGAAGTGCTAGAGAAGATAAGGTGCTTTAACTCTAGCCCTCCCGGCTTGGCTGGGTTTTGAAGCTGGGAGCTGTGACCTGCCAGCCAGGGAGACATGAGAGGGGGGGAGGAAAGAGGGTGGTTGGAGGACACCTTCCTCTGGGGGCAGTGGGAGCTGCCACCAGGAGCCACTGAGATGGAGGGTGATGGGAGGGAGACTTGGACTTTCAGAAAGATCTCATGGAACCATCCTGGTCCCTCTGACAGTCAAAGGCGGTCAAGCCCCAAAGTCTTCTATGCTCTTTGGGTGATGTCAAGCTGTATCTGCTCATTCACATGACTGAGAAAACCTCAGGGGAGACTGGTTGGGCTGATATGACCCAAGGTCCTCTCTGTTGCACCAGGCTGCCACCCAGATGTCTTCAGCTGGAGTGGAGTGAAGTTGGGCCACCACTGGCCAGACCCAGCTCTGCCCTGGAGAATGGGATCAGTGAACGAGAGCAAATCAGGATCATCAGTGGTCTTACGCAACTGCACAGGACATGCAATAGCACTGGGGGTTTTCCAGCTCCCCGAGCTGCCCTCCATGCAGGCAGGGCAACGCTTGCTGCCCTGCTCAAGTCAGCACTCTTGCCACTTGAGCTGGGGTCTGGCTTTCAGGTAGGCTTACTCACATTTAGACTGCTTTTGACTGTGCCAGACACCATGGCGATAGCTCTGGCTGTCAGGTGCCACCTACCACAGCCCCAGGTGGGGGTTTCTCTCAATATTGGGCTTCGAGGTGCTCAAGCTGGGTATGACTGCCCAGCATCTTGGCGAGGTAAATTGGGCGCTGCTTGCTGTCACATTCAGTAAGGTCAAAGTGTGAAAACCAGCAATGGCCTGCAGGTACCAATGTCCTGGTCCAGTCCAATGTGGTAGAAATCATGGGCTCGGCAGGGCTGGGCAGAGGGGGCATCTCTCAGCAACTGCAATCTGTAAGTGTAGCTGTTGTGGCAAGGTTTGGGCTGACCTCCCTAACCCAGGGAGCTTTGCACCTCGGTGGGCTTGCTTGTTATTATCCTGCCCTGGCAGGTTTTGCTGTCAAAAAGTGACCCTGGTTGCCCTCAGAGTAGTAGGCAGCCAAGAAAAGGACTTTCTCTTCCGGTCATTTGTCTGAATGAAGTTGCAAAGAGCAGGAGGGGGTGCAGTATGCCTCTTGTGTGCATTAATATCGAACTGTGGCAGGAACAATCAGAGCTGGGTCTCCATTCCTTTCTCCATGTATGTGGCACAGTCATCACAATGTGTCTGCACTGGTTAGCAATGGCTGGTGACATTTTGCTCCTCAAGGCTCTTCTTTCAGTGTTGTAGGGTTTTTACCGCTTTGTCTCCAGCCCGGGCCTTGGCATGCCAGGTACTGATGGTCTTGGCCTCTCTACTACAAGCTCAATGTCCCCATTTTCTCCACAGGAGGCTTTGCCACCTTCTCATCCTGCTTCCCAGGGCTCTGCGAGGGGAAGCCAGCTGCCATCTTGCCGATGAGCATCTCCCAGCCATGCTTGCCCGTGGCCAACGTCGGCCCCACACGCATCCTGCCGCATCTCTACCTGGGCTCCCAGAAAGATGTCCTAAACAAGGTACAGCCCTGGTGAGGGGACATATCTGCCCTGTCCCATCTGGGACCCCAGCCATGCAGAGGGGTGAGGGCATTAAGGACTCTTCTGCCTGGTGGGAGGACCACATGTCATCGGTCTGACCCTACCGGTAGGCTGAAGGCAAGGAGTGCATAGGCAGAGCCCAGCAGAGCTGGGGAGGGTGGTCTCAGGGTGAGTCATCATATACTGATGAGGTTTGGGGTGGTCAAACCCTTCCCAAGTGCCTGTAGCCAACTCAGGGACAGGAGGAGCATGGCCAGGAAAACACCTGGGCTTAGAGGGGGAGTTACCACAGCTGGAAAGAGATGTGGAACAGGATCCAGCTTTGCACCCACCCGCCTAGCCAGCCAGGCAACACCAATTTCAGCAACTCTATGATCCGCTTGGGAACCAGAGCAAGCTGTGGTATTCAGCCACAGCAGCATGGGGACGGGCAGCCCTGGCCAGGGGCAGGAGCTTGCTCAGGAGGCCCGAAAATGAGCAAAGGGGAGAGGAGAAAAGAGGGACAGTGCTCTTTTAAAGGTGCTGGAAGGGCTGTGCTGTGATGTCATGCCAGGGAAGGAATTTTGTTTAAAGGAAAAATAACAGCGAGAAGAAAGAGGAATTGCAGTTAAAATGCCGCTGGGCGCCTGCCTACCACGGGCAGGAGGGAGCCAGCCAGGCGTCCTCGCCCAGGGCAGGCAAGGGGGGAGAGGGACCACAACGCCAGAGGGGGGTTGGAGACAGAAAGGAGGGAGAGAGAAATTATATACAGGGAGTAAAAGGAAATGAAAGAGAAAAATGCCAAGAATGCAAGCCCGGGAGCTGGGCTGGCTCCGCCAAGCCGAGGCCGGGCTCTGTAGAGCCTGCTGGGGTGGGCAGGAACCGGCCGCTGGAGAGCCAGGGCCAAACTCCCGGTGCAGTCTCCTGAGGAGCCAATGTCAGGCAGGGAAACTGATGGTTTCCTCCCTGCCTCCTCAGAGGGTTTTGTTCATCTTTTGGAGCTGTGTTTTCTGCCATCCCCAAGATGTGGCCAGAAGATGCTCTATTCATAGGCAGCAGAGCGGGGTCACGTGCAGAGGCCATGCATGGGCAATGCTTGTCTTCTCCAGCACGTTGCAAAGGAGAGATCCCACATGGCAGCTCCACACACTCTGACGCATGGGAGGACTCTTTTATCTCCGTGTTTTCTTCTCCCATTTAATTCTGGGTCTTCCCTGGAATAATGCCAACCAGGCACAGATATTCCCCCATTTTTTATAAGCAACCTGCCCCTAGTTGTACAGGTGATACCTCATCTGTTGCAACGAGGAAAGAGACAGGGGTCATAGGAGCCATAAATTCGGCGTCAGCACTGCATATAGGTGAAGTTGGCCATTGCCCTGTGAGGGAAGGAATGGAGGTTGATGTGGATGCAGCAGTACGCACCCAGCAAGCTAGTTCCCTGATGGATGGCCTGTGGGTCCAACCTCACCCCCTCATGGCAGTTTTTCATCTGACCCTATTTACCTAAGGTCTCCTTTGTGCCATTGCCTTGTACTGAGAGAGAAATATCGGCAGTGATGGTGGCCATTGAACAGCCAAAGCAGAAAAGTCACAGAAAGCAAGTCCAGGTTCACTCCAGTGTCAGAAAGAGGGAAGAGTTGGTTCCCCTTGCCACCTGCCTATGTCCCAACACAGTGAAGAGCTGTGAACCACTAACAAATCTGTGGGAACTCCTGATGCATTTCTGAGGGGTGTGGGAGCAAAGACATGGGTTGACATTGGTTAACATAGGGTGCTACCAGTGACTAGATATAAGGAAGAAATTCTTTACAATGAGGGTGGTAAAACACTGGAACAGGTTGCCCAGAGAGGCAGTGGAGGCCCCATCCCTGGAAACATTCCAGGCCAGGTTGGATGGGGCTGTGAGCAACCTGATCTAGTTAGCGGTGTCCCTGCTCACTGCAGGGGGGTTGGACTGGGTAACCTCTAGGGGTCCCTTCCAACCCAAAACATTCTATGATTCTATGATTCTATGACTCGCCCCACTCTGTTGGTGAGATGCCTCCTCTCCCTCATCTGATACTTTCAAAGCTTTCAGCCACACTTTTCACTGATTTTCTTTCTTGTATTTTCCTATTCCTCTCATACTGGGGTTCTTGGGTTTTCCCCTCTGGGAGCCCCTTCTTTGGTCTTGCTTACTTTTACTTGGACCAAAGTAAAGATCTGCTGAGGTTCCAACCTGTGTCATCTAAATTGACACAGACTTCTCAGCTGGCCTCTGCTGTACTACCATCAACTAGACCAAGGCAGCAGTGGGAAAATACTGGGATGGGAAAAGGCAGGGCATGCATAGCAAGGCAGGTCTTCAGTACTCGGTGCTGGCTGAACTCAGCCAATCATTTGATCACTTCTTTCCCACCAGGACTTGATGACACAGAATGGGATAAGCTATGTCCTGAACGCCAGCAACTCCTGTCCCAAGCCAGACTTCATCTGTGATAGTCACTTCATGCGCATTCCTGTCAATGACAACTACTGTGAGAAGCTGCTTCCCTGGCTGGACAAGTCCATTGAATTCATTGGTGAGCTTTTGTTACAATGCTTGCAGACCTTCCTGTTCTCAGCCTTCAAAACCTGAACTCTTCTTCTGACCTTCATGGTCTTACCCCCAGCAACCCTTGTTCTTTCACACAGAGGGACTGAGCGTTGCGGGGTGGGGGGAAGCAGGCTGGAGTCATTTTGCTCACGATCTCTGACCACATCGATGCTTTTCTCTCTTTTTCCTCTACTGTGCTCCAGACAAGGCCAAGGTGTCCAGCTGCCAGGTGATTGTGCACTGCTTGGCCGGGATCTCCCGATCAGCCACCATTGCCATCGCCTACATCATGAAGACCATGGGTATGTCGTCAGATGATGCTTACAGGTGAGTTTTCCCCAGAGGGCAGGGAGGGGCTATGCCCGCAGGCTTCATTACAGGGAAGGAAAGCAGGCTGAGCCCAGAAGGATAGGGTGGGAGCTCCTTGAAGCTCTGTCTTGCCTTGGCTGAGTCCCAGTGAAACCAAACCAAACCTCCCTTCAAAAAGTGCATGCAACGAGAAGTGGTTGGGAGCGGTAAAGTGGAGGGGGGAGACACTCCCAGCTCTACCCCTGGGGCATCCCGAGGCCCCGTGATTCCCCAAGACCCCTTTCTTCAGAGGGTCTGGTCAGAAGGTCCTGGGTAATGCCTCTTCTCCCCAAAGAGGCTGAGAGAGTAGGGGTGACCCACTGAAGGACCAAGCACCAACCAGGGCTGTCTGTGCCTCTCGGCAGGTTCGTTAAGGACCGTCGCCCATCCATCTCACCCAACTTCAACTTCCTGGGCCAGCTCCTGGAGTATGAGAGGAGCCTGAAGCTCCTCAAGGCCCTGAAGTCAAAGGGTGACCGGGGTGAGGGGGACGCCCAGCAGGACCCAGCAGAGGTGGCTGAGGGCAGCCGGCACCCCCCACCACCTACCTCAGAGAAGGCCGAGGAGGTGCCAAGAAGCGCTGGCTCGGCAACCCCCCCTGGTGACC